TGCTAACTCGAGAGTGTTGATAATTTAAGTTAGTCGGCCCATGACATATTTAATAAGATTAAATCAAATTAACTTCGGGATTATCACACCTAAAAAAGACGAGCCCAGCGGGCTTAATACTTACAGTGCAAAGCACTTGTGTCTTCTCAATGATTCCATAGGCACAAGATGTTGTGCTCTTTCCTTCTAGTAGTTACAATGGCTTTGATATTCTTATCTACATGAAATAAACTAGTCCTAATCTTTTTTTTTGCCTTTTAGATTTTAAATTTGCTCCCCAATATAGTACTGTGCCTTCAGCACCCTTACAGTGTAGTGCGACACTTGGCAGCCAGGTGCCTGGGTGTGCTGTGCTCTGTGTCCACCGAAGATACCATGAAGACAGTGGTAAAGGATATCTTACCTTTGATGGGCACTGCTGATGTTATCAGGAACCGTCAAGGAGCTATAGAAGCTATACCTTGTATCCTTACAAAGCTGAAAACAATTGTTATGCTCCAGAAAGTTATTGTAGTGCACCAAAACTAATGCAGAAATGATGTTTCCGTCTAAATTTAGCTTATATTGGCTGTGTAGAGATGTGGTATGAATGATTCAATTAAAGAAAAATTTCAGGTCGGATGATTTCGTGTCACAATAAGATTTACCTGTTTCCCCCACCCCACCCCCTTAGCTTTGTAGTATTCTTATTACTCCCCCCCCCCTTCATTGGCAGTTAATTTTCCATAGTCCCCCATAGACTGATCCTCCCTCAATTTCCCCAGAAAACTGAGTGATCCCTCCTAAAATCCTCCCCCTTCCCCACGCCCCCGACGATAAATAGTGACTGGTCCATTTCTGCTCGCCATTTTGGAGTAGAGTTTATTTTCGCTGTGTTTTCACTATACACACATATGTTGGTATCCTTAACTGGTTGCTTTACATTAGGTGTAATTGATCGGCTCGGAATGGGTGCGGTGCCTTACGTTGTTCTCCTGGTGGTGCCCGTGCTCGGACGGATGAGTGATCAGTGCGAAGATGTTCGACTTATGGCCACATACTGTTTTGCCACACTTTAGGTATTTAGGCTAACTTGTAGTTTGAGTAGTTTTAAGTCTCTCATTTTGACAATGACTGAGCGCATTACCATGCTATAATTTACACAGCTCGCTATTGTGTGCCTTGTCTTTTATTTTGTCGGAATATACCCTGTCCATCTAAGCGAGAGGTTTGACAGAAATGTCATTGTTTAATGCCATGGTTTAATGGTCCGTGCACCTCATCGTTGTTGTAATGTTCTTGGTTGGATGACACCTCTAATGGGAACGGAGGTAAAAGAACAAAGAGGACATATATCTTGCAGCTTGAGATTTGTATGTGATTCATACTGAAGTGTTCGTAATTTTATTTCGAC